ACCGTTACCGTTACCGTTACCGTTACCGTTACCGTTACCGTTACCGTTACCGTTACCGTTACCGTTACCGTTACCGTTACCGTACGTACGTACGTACGTACGTACGTACGTACGTACGTACGTACGTACGTACGTACGTACGTACGTACGTACGTACGTACGTACGTACGTACGTAGTAGTAGTAGTAGTAGAGAGAGAGAGAGAGAGAGAGAAAAAAAAAAAGAGAGAGAGAGAGAGAGAGAGAGAAGTCCTTACATAGACCTGGTCTGGATGTTTCATACAGAACTCTGTTTCCCTCCATTGGGTAGGGTGGAGTTTTATGGCCGTACCAGCCGTAAGAAAGGTTTTGAAGTACAGTCCAGTCTCTTGCCAGACAATGTGTTTCTGGCAAGCTTTTTTTTTTTTTTGAAAAATACAGAAAGAGAAGACTGGGAGTCAGTTCAGAAAATTTTAGAAAATTATAAAATCGGTCCACATTTTAAAATGAAAAGCACTTACAATTTATTAAAATTCTTGAAGGGGCAAAGTGATAGAGCTGAAAAGTCAGAGACCTGAATTTGGCACTATCAGTAACTAGCTGAAACTCCTGTTACATTCCAGGTAGTTAGACTAGCAGGAATTTGAGACAATTCCAGGCAAAATGGGTACAATTTCTTTTACTCTTATAATTAAAATATACAGTTTCATCCTTTCTTGATCTTTTGAAAACAGTCATTATTATTAGAAAATAGTATGTGATTTTAAGTTCTCGTTAAACATTGAAGTAGTGTGTACTAATGGAAAATAGATATCTGACTACAAATATTTTGAGGCCTTTGTATTTATACTTCCATCTTTCACATTTCCATTGATTTTCAGGCCTAAATGTGTTAACAGTCTATTACAGATGGGGGCATTTGGGAACAAATCTGAAAATGGGACCACGTTTTTCAATAGCATTATACTTTCATTTATGTTCTCTTTCTCTCCAGCCTAATACTGAGCTATTGTTTATAATGTTAAAAATGTCAGTCGTTTTTTACAAAAGGAACAGAGATAGACATTGAAGAATATATTTTCATTTCTCATTATAAAAACATATATCCAGCTTTCTCAAAATTGTGATGGTGAATATTAAATTCTGTTTATTATAAGGTTTTGAGTTTAACTTACCACTTACATTATTCTGCCCTCATAGAGTAACTTTTCATTGTACTTGGCTGTTATTTTCTTCATTTTCATATCATCCCTTTAAAGAAATACCAGGTATTTATTTACATGCTGGATTAAATGATGGAATTAAAAACTGAAAACATTTAAATTTGCTTTTCTTAGGATATATCAGCTCAAGGATCATCTTCACAGCTTCCTAAACCTTTTGATCCTGAGCCAGAAGCTAAATATGGCACGCTGGATGTGACTTTTGACTATGACTCACAAGAACAGAAGCTTCTGGTAACAGTGACAGCTGTCACAGATATCCCAACATATAACAGGACAGGTGGCAACTCATGGCAAGTACACCTTGTTCTTCTACCTATAAAGAAACAGAGAGCAAAAACCAGCATCCAGAGAGGACCATGCCCTGTCTTCACAGAAACATTCAAATTTAATCATGTTGAATCTGAGATGATTGGAAATTATGCAGTTCGGTTTAGACTGTATGGTGTACATCGCATGAAAAAAGAAAAGATTGTGGGGGAAAAGATTTTTTATTTAACAAAATTGAATCTTCAAGGGAAAATGTCATTACCTGTGATATTGGAACCTTCTTACAATCATTCTGTGAGTATCTGATCAAATAGCCCAAATACAGTTTATGGCATGATATATAATATACACAATTTTCAAAATCTATGATCAACCCAACAACTTTCTCAGTCTATTTTTACATAGTAATCATACCTACAAAATCTCTAAGCCCTAGATAGGTAGGTATAACTTTTTCTCATCTATGAAAGTTGCCCTTGAAGATTATACATGATTTATGTATTTTGTTTTATCTTCACAGTCTAGCCCAGTGCCATACACATGTGCTCCTTTGTTAAACATTTATGAGATAATTGTGTATGACAGCATCTGAACTCCTTGCAGAACTTACTGTTTTCTTTCTAGTTTAAAACTGGGTGATACTTTAACAACCATCTTATTTCATATATTGCAGAAATTATTTGCTCTTACAGGATAGGTACTGCTGCCTAGGTCATAACTACCTTTCCAGAACTGCTTTGAAATTATTTTTAAAGGTTCAGAAAAACTCTGCCCTCATATACTTTCCACTTTTTTAAACAAAGATTTTGCAGTATTTCTGGGAGAATACTTCAGTTTGGTACTATGAGCTGTTCTCCCTTTTCTGTTTTTTCCTCCAGGTTTTGATCACACACAAGTCAGTCTCTCGCTCCCTCCCTCCTTCTCCCTCCCTCCCTCTCTCCCCCTTCCCCCCCCTCCCTCTCTCTTCCCTCCCCCCCATATCTTTTTGTAATAATTTTTTTTATAAACTCCCACAAAGCATTGCAAATCACAGGAGAGCTGCACTGTTTGTTTAAACCAGGGAGATACATTATGCCACATAGTTATTTAGATTATAAGAAAATCTGTGATACGCTGTAAATGTAAATTTTGAATTATATTTATTCCTCTCTTATATTGAATAAGAAGCACTTATTTTTACATGTAAGTACATAGATTTGGAATAAGTTTGTGAATTAAAGTAAAGGTATATTTTAGGGTTGTTTTTAAGCTTTTAAAGGTATAAGTGTAAATCCAAGGCTCGAGGCTTAGTGAATTTATACCAGTCAGCACTTGATCTTCTAGGACCTTCATTCACAGTAGAACCATACCATTTTAGCTAGATGGTTGCAGCATCTTTAAAAACCATAAGGTGATAGTAAATATAGTATATCCTTCTGAGTTTTTAGGATAATATTTAGCCTTTATTGGGAAAATTGATAACTTGTTTTAATTTTAAATTTCAGAATTACTGTTTGGGGGAAATGTCTTTTTTAATGATATCAGCAGTTTATCAGAGAAGAGAAAAAAAGTCCAGGCAATATTTCAGAGGGAAAAAGATAATTTTTAATACAATTGAGTATTTTTTAATTCTTACTATCATTTTTTAAACTTTCTCATTATTTGGTCTGAGTGATCACTAGTTAATCTGTGGAAAAGTCATTCTTATATGTAGAAATACCTGATTCATGTTACAAGAGAATGGATGTATCATCAAGAGGTATGTATTTGTTGTTTCTTTATTTGCTTTAAGTTATCTGTTCCCAATTCTGTATTAATTATATTCATTTCACAGAGGAAATGAAGCCATACAAAATAATACAACTTTTCCCTCTGGTCAAGTCAAACTAAGTAATTTCTGTGCACACCTGCATTGCATATATTAGCTTATATCTGATTCTTTATTTCTGCATTTCTGACAACCAGTATAATAGATATCTGCAGAGTGTTCACGAAAAGAAAAAGTGCTAGATATGTAGTATATAAGAAACAACGTTTAAATCTGAGCAGAACTATTCTACTCTTAGAGAATTTTTTTCTCTGCATTGCCGTGCTTCTCAGAGGCAGTGCCTGTGATGAACTGTTGCTCTGTCTCGCCTTCTTTCTTTCTCCACCTGCTCCAAATTTCATTGCTTGTTTTTGGCTTCTTTGCCAAATCAACTGGCGTACCAAACTTGCAAGGTTAAGACTCATAATCCTGTCTATCAGTTGTCATGTCATAAAAATGAAGCACTAATAGAATGTATAGATTCTGTATGTGCTCCAGTGTTAATGTCCTCTGCTTAAGTTTTTGTGTTTACTGTATAGAGAAATCCTGCGATCATAGATTATCCTAGGTGATTTTAACTCTAATTTTGTAAGATATAATAATACATGTGCCAGAAGTACTCTCAAAATTAAACGTTTATTCTTGTAGCTTTTGAATAATTATGTTATTGTTGTTGTTGTTGTTGTAAGAATATTAGCCTTTTGGCAAGGGAAAGGGTGTTTTTTTTAGCCAGTCCATTGAAGTATAGTTAATTTACAATATTGTGTTAGTTTCGGGTGTACAGTAAAGCAGTTCAGTTATACATATATTTTTTTTCAGATTCTTTGCCATTATAGATTACTACAAGATATTGACTATAGTTTCCTGTGCTGTACAGTAGGTCCTTGTTGTTTATTTTATATATGTTAGTGTTTATATGTTAATCACAGACTCCTAATTTATCCCTCACCCTGACCCCCACTTTCCCCCTTGGTAACCATGAATTTGTTTTCTGTGTCTGGGAGTCTATTTCTGTTTTTGTAAATAAGTTCATCTGTATTCTTTTTTTAGATTCCATGTATAAATGATATATGATATTTGTTTTCCCCTGTCTGACTTGCTTCCACTTAATAAGATAATCTCTAGGTCCATCTGTGTTGCTGCAAATCGCATTATTTCATTTGTTTTATGGTTAAGTAATATTCCATTGTGTGGAATATGTGTATATATATATACAGACACACACACACACACACACACACACACACACCACATCTTCTTTATCCATGTATCTGTTGATGGAC